ATCTTCAAATGTAAAAGGATAAAGTAAACATAGGTACCCAGATGATGAGTTGTTACCTCAACTCAAGTATTATGTACTCAACTCCCCCACTTTGCTTTCAATGACCAGCTTCTTGCAAGAAATCTGACCCTTAGTTTCAATCAACAGTATCTCCTTCTGCCACTCCAGAAAACGGCATTTCTCACTAACGGAGCCAGCACTGGCGTTTCCAAAATTAGGGCTTCCAGAAGCAGCATCCTCCGCCAGCCTGCCAGCCTGCCCTTGTTGGGGAATTTTTATTGTAGCCATTGAGGCAAATTAAACACATTTGTGCTTAAAAAATAAAAATATAATTAATGAATGTGATTTATTTTCTCTGAAAGTCTGCTAAAAAAAGTTAACTAGTAAATTATGCTATAAAAGTTGTGATATACAAAACTTTTTGCTACTATATGAAGACAATCAAATAGAGTGCCAAATGGTTGCCTGCCCTTAATGCTTCCAGCACTTGGGCAAGTAGATCACCTCAAACAAGGAGAACTTTGCCGTATGTTATCACTTTCACATGAGAAAGTAAATGTAGGTGCTCATAGTGTGAATTATCTTCATTTGTGACTTAAATATCCCTTTCCATGATCTATACCATCTTTATGGTCCATAACAGTTACACAATTGACGAAAGAGTCATGAGAAATATATCACCGTTAACTTGAGTTGCATTTTTATGATATAAAAGCAGAAGATAGATCCTATTTCACCTCTGATCAAGTGCTGGTTTTTTGCTTCTTATTCTCTCTTCACTGAATTGGGTTGTCCTCATTTCTCTTCTAATATGCCCTACTGTTTTACAGACTTCAGTTTATCCTCTCTCCTCTGCAATTTCTTAAGTATCTCACCTCAGAGAACCAAACCTTGACAACCGCCTCTACGCACTGACAGCACAGTAAATGCCTGGTACAAAACAGTATTATGACTTATCCTAGCCCTGCCCACAGGTGCAGGCACTGACGGAGGTCATTGGGAGCATGGATACTCACATGAAGGGATATAAAAATACGGGCCTTGGAGAGTGATGAGTAGGAGTTGGCATTAAACACACACACACACACAATGCCTGACAAAGAAAAGGTGGACCGGGAATTTTCAAACAACTGACTTGACTATCCAAATCATCCACTACTAATAGAAGTCTTCGACTACCAGGTTTTCAAGCAAAATCTGTCACATATAGATAAAAATCAAGAGAAAAACCAAAGAAGCTCGGAGTTAATGAACAGAGTCCCTGCTGTACCTCTAGAATGCCTAGTTTTGTTTAATACAAGGAAAACGCTGGCTCAGTTCAGAGCCCATTCTTTTTTCAGTAACAACAATCTTAAACTTTAATTTAAAATAAGCACTTTCTCCTTCCCTCAGGATAATGGAATGTACATACGAAAGCAATTTAAAAGTTCATGTCACTTCACATTTAGTACCTATTTACTGCTGGTATCTCCTTGAAGTACAGAGTTAAAAATGGCAACTTTGGGTCCTAGCGTGCAGGAAGTGTTGCATGTTTTTCTACAACGGTGACTGTATGGCATTGCTGTGACAAATAACGTGACGCTATGAATAATTAGAAAATGTTGGTTCACTATGAGTCCCAGTAACAATGATTTCAACCATCTATAATATGCAGTTTTACATCTTCCAGTTGTAAAAATTTTTCTGCTAGTCAATACCATGTTCAAGGGTCATCAAAGTTGTCGGCAGTGACAGGAAGAATGAGAATATGCTGAGAACATCTTTTCAAAATTCCTCAGATGTCATTAAAAAATTTAGCAAACTATTAATGAATGCAGAAGATGAAAGCAAATGCATTTAAAACTCCTACTAAGGAGTTCTTTTTATTAGACTAAAAATTTGAATAATAATAATAAAATATAAATTCTAATAATTTTTATTAGAATAAAAATTCGAATAATTTCTACAGTGCAAGCTATGTGTGTACTTTATTAATGTTCTTAAAAATTTCAACTTGGAAAACTACTCATTTAATTCTACTCACCTGAACTCTTCAAGAAAAGACATTAATTTGATTAATTCTTCTTAACACTAATTGGAATGGGTATCGTATTTAACAAACAGAGCAATTACTTTTTTTTCTAAAGGACAGAAAATAAGCTAACTAGCACCAACGGCTGAAAATGCTTGGTGCTAGAACAACAAATTACAGCCACTGCAACAAGCACTTCTTAACTGTTTCTAATTTTACTTTAACTAGGCACGCAGTTATGTTTGATGCCATCCACTAGTAACAATTTCTGTCTTATACGTTGTTCTATTTTGCCTGTTAGCAGTGTCTTCCTTTCTGTCATCCTTTTCTGTCCTCTGATCACCTTTCGAGTCAAATGTTTCTGAAGGGTGAAAGCAGATTCCCCTCTTCACCCCTGAATATCCCTTACCTGTATGCCTGCTCTTTTTCACATGCTTCTTACCCCCTTGACCGACACACATGAATATCTGTGCCTAAGAAATCAGAAATGCCTCTTCGAAAACGAGGCAGGATTTCACAGCCTGTTCAAATTTTATATAATCAACTCAAAATGCAATTTTACATTTCTGTCTTATGTTTCATTTACTTTCACACACATAACACTCCTTTACCTAAGTAACTTTGCTATTCACTATTCTTTATCTACTCCAGTATCTTTGTGCATTTCTGTATCTTCAGCACTTCTAAAGTTCATGGATTTGACACAATTTTCTGTTTCCTATTTTTGAGTATGCCAGGGCTTCAGTTTAAGGTTCGTAGCAAGAAGCAGTAACTGGCAAAACATCTGCAAAAAGAGACATTAACAAAAACATTACCCCTATCTTCAAAACTCTGCTCAATTATGGTCTCAGATCACCGTAACAGCAACACTACCACAATTTCTTTAATTTGTGCATCTAGAATTTCCTTTTCATTGAATCAAGCAGACATCTGGTTATATGTCACTATCTATTTTGTGTCGAGTAGAAATCTGGTGTACCTTAAAACTTCAATACAGAAGATGGAGGAAAAGAGATTTGTAAAAGGAAATTTTGCAATTAATTTTCTGAATGTATTATTTCCAACACACAATGCTGCTTTATTACTCACTTTGTAATTTCTTTATTCGCATGCAAGTAAGTCTTTAAAGTAAACACAGGCATTGCACATGCTAGATGACTTTTTTTGGCTTCATTTACAAAGTCTGAGCTGAGTCTTCACAGTTGATAAAGCAGTAGTAAATAAACATGCCTTTTCAACAAGCATTCTGGGCTAATTGCTCTTTCCAGTTACTCTCCTCTCACCATAATTCGTCCCTACACCTTCCCTTTCATTCAGGATTACTACTTCTTTTAACCACTCAATGTTCTCCTAATAATGCTACGAGAGAAGTTGCACTGACTTTGATCTGCCGACTGATCTTACCTGATCCGGTTCCCCAAACCACTCTGCAGGTCGGGCCCAGGTCTTTCCATCAGGCAGCGTTTCACGCTGCCCGCTGAACAGCATCCGTTGCTACGCCAGGAACACACTTGGGGCAAAGCGGTATTAAGGCTCCTTCATGTTCTTGCAGTTGGGAGACTAGCAAGCACAAGCTGAGCCTTAGCACCATGCCAGGGCAGCATGTAATGGGAAATTCCTGACCAGCCCCATTCAGTAGGTCTGTCCCTACCTGCTACAGCCTCAAACACGATCTGCCTGCCGAGGAAGCAGGGAAGAATTGGCGTAGGGCAGATTTACACACTATAATGTTCCCTTTCCAAGTTATGTGCAGTAAATTCCCAGCTCTTTACTTGGACTGCTGTATGCGTTTCTAGAAAAGACCAATATGGATACTCTGCGGACAAAAATTTTCCTATGATAAGCACTGTTTGAAAAAAGTAAGAAAAAACCAAATACTCTGGACTAGTACACAAAGTAAACAAATTTCATCTACAGAGGCTTCAGTCCAATAGTCAATGCTTAACAATTTCCCACTTTTCCGCCATTTCTGGGCTTATTTTGGGAAGGACTGCCATAAAACAAAAAAACAATGGACAACTTTAATAAGCTCTGATATTCTCTATTTCATGCCTGCTCTAAACACATCATGAGGTCAAAGTAAAACTCTTAGCAGGTCATATTTTTGTGCCCTTTCATTCATAAGCTAGAATCAGCAACTTCAAAGCTATTCCACTAACGCTTAAGGTGAAAAAAGACGCAGGAGGCCTGCTGAGGTAACAAAATAAAGGCAGAGGAAACAAGCTGACTTAGAATGTCCTGGCAACTCAAGCTGTCTCTAGCACAAAAAGACTGCATCAGAAAGCTTGTTATAGAAAACAAATACCTTTTATTCTAAGCTATTTTTCTGCCTGACGCTAATTACATTCTATATATTAGATTTCCTCGAATTTTCTCTTTTTTTTTTTTTTTTTTTTTTAAAAAAAAAACAAACTACGGAGAGTCAATTTTACTTACAAATTGCGTCACAGTGCACAGACTTGAAATTGCTTTGCTGAACTGAAACAGAAACTGTTCTTTCCTTTTTAAAGCATAAACATGCTACTGTCAAAGAAGTAGTCAGAAGAATTTAAGGTAAAAACTAGTGTTGAGCATAAAAGAATTCTCTAAATATTAAAGTATCTAAAATGACAGCTACAAATCTTCAAATGAAAAACGAGCACATAAATTTAATAGAAATAAAACCTGCAAAACTCTTCTAAGCTCAAAATCAACCTCGTGTCAGTAATTGCTGGAATACTGGGCCAATGCATATCAATCATACTCACAGAAATGGAAACCATCACGTTCATATTCATACTCAAATACTGATTTCATAAGAGGAATTACCCATTCTGTGCTCACTATACTTGATTATAAAAAGAAATAAAATGGAGATTACTGCCAGTGTCTGAGGAGCTCAAGCAGTTTTAGGAGCAACACATTTCGTAACTCCTGTGAAAAAGCAAACCAGTGAGTAAATAGTTTCCCACTGCAAGTGAATGTTATTTAAAAAAAATTTCAGTCTTACCTTAACTTTAAGCACAGAAGAAAACATTTTGGCATCTTCAGACACTCCCCCAATGTACATTTTTTTGGTGAAGACAGGCACATGGTCATTTTCATCCTTCACTTCAATAAATACCTTGGCTGTATTACCTAGGAGAAGGAATAAAAAGTATAGATAGAACATTTGGCAATAAATCTTTAACACCTACTGGAGTTCAAACATTTACAGCCCAAACAGATCATGTAAAATAAGTGCACAGATAACACTGGAACAATAAATACGTTAGAAATAATAGTACATTTGGTATGAAAAGTATGAATTTGAAGGAAGTAAAGAGATTTCGTGTTTGGGGGTTTTTTGTACTCCACCTTTATCATTTCTGCATTTGCCATTTTTTTTCTGAATGAATCTTGAGCCAAAATTTGTACCTTTATAGAAAGTGATTCCCATTATCTGTACACCTGCACTTTGCTATTAGGGCTATCTGAATGTGTCTGTAAGCAAAAAGCTGCCATGGCTTTCTTTAGAAAGCAAGCTATTTGGGGAAAATATAAGAAGAGACCCGTAACTAATTTTTCAAATAAACAGAAAAGCACAAGTAAGAATATTGTACCTTAGTAACACGGATTTTGGTCACATTAAATTCTCACAAGTTATAAAGAGGTAACGAACAGGTGACATATACTAGTAGTTCTGTTGCAAACAGCAGCTTGCTTTTTCCGCTTCATGTGCAGCTTGCTTTATGTATTTTAATTATTACTAACTCCCATGCAAATGCCTAATGGGTGATTCTGCCACAGTGTCTGTAAACTCACAAATGTTCATACAATAGCGCTGGCAGAAACATCCTCTGGATGAACAACGTGGTACTTTACGTTGCAGGTCAATGCAGCGTTTTCTATACCTGCCTGAGCCATACAGCACAAACATCTGACAGGTTTGACCACGCGAGTGCTAAGCAGCCTCAACACCTAATGAATTTACTGTGTTAATTGAGTCTGTCTTCATCACAAACCTGGCCTGGCCCATGGGAATTCAGGAAGTATTACTTCCCCCCTAGAGGTTCAACACATCTTCAAGCAAAGTACAGCTGTTAATTTGTGTTTTATTAAACAGTTACTGATCCACCCCATTGAACAATAAACATCTCTCTTTTTCTGCAAGGAAAAAACATCTAGCAAAAATTACGGACGTAGCGCAAAAAAGATTCAACTGCGCAGTAATCTATACCAACATCTGTTTGTCACTTTCAGAACTGTATAATCCAGAAAGATTGCTGGAAATGATGATATCCAGTTCATTAAAACCACATTTTCAAGTGATAAATTGCCTCATTTCAGAGTTGGTTTTCCCAGCTTGTTTCAGTGCCAGGGCAATTTAAATGTTGCACAGGTGCCACGCTGATCTGAGTAGAGCTTCAAAACGCAGCCTCATTTAGAAAAAGCTTAGTAGCTGTACCTTTAGGGGACAAAAAAATTAAACCCCAGACTATTTCTTAGACTGCCAAAGTCACCAAAGATATTCTGTCTTTCTGATGGTCCAACTGATGGGAAACAAATGAGGACTTCATAAATGTAACTGAAATCTGAGAATAACATTTAAAATGCCATCCAGTGCATTAGTACGGAGAGAAGAAAAAAAGAGAAAGGAAAGAAAAAAAGGAAATTACATTTCCTCTGAGGAATAATCAATTATTCGCCTTCCACACTGATCTGTGCAGATATGTTAAGCAACTTGTAGGTGCTGTTACTTCATAGGAAAATGACTTCATGACAAGCTCTCTTTTTATGGACGTGGAAAAAAAGCCATAATCCAATATCTGAATGTGTGTAATGTGGACATAATGGCCTATTTGTAATCATCTCTAGTTTGTTTATGCTCATTTTAAAAGAACGCTTCTTACCTTGACTACATTGTTTATTACAGCAAAGAAAAATTTCAGTCGAAGAGGTATTGTGAGGTCCTATCAATAGTCAAGTCTCTGTCTTGTTAAATCGGATCCTCAATGTTTCTGGCTGCAATACTAAGTTACAGTTAGGAACTGCAGCCCTGTTGAGAAAAATGAGATTCCCAGGCAGGCTTTTTCACTGCAGCTACACCCTTGAGGGAAGAAGGCAACTGAAGCAGGATTACAGGCAATGTGTGTAAGTGACCTTGCCCTGCTGAGCTAATAAACAGTTATATCAATGGCTGGCACCAGTTTACTGCTGTGGGGAAGATCTTAATTGTATCACGTTCAGTGCTGGTAGGACTAGGCGTTTGCTAACCTGCACTAGCTCTCTCTAATGCAAATTCAACATCTTCTGCATAGCGCTCGCTATCTTCATCAGTTTCAAAGGCAGTTTGGGTGAGGTGGCTTAGCCTCGTGCAAAGTTTGCGTTGCAATTTGCTCGAAAACATTTGTTTAATTTGCTGATAGTTCTCTGAGCTGCCAAAATGCTGATTTGTTTAGCAATGGTTGAATGCTTTGAAAATGAGAAGTGAAAGTTATTGCATTAAGAACAAAGCAAATTAAATATCCTGCATATATACAGACTAACATTAGCATCGTTAACGTTAAATTAAACATATACCTTCATTTTATCTTACTGCCTGATTTTTATACACAGCTTATATTTCATTCATTCTGGCAGACGGAGGGGAACGCGGCATCTGTGAACTCCTCACTACCGCGTGCTTTTTATCTGATTCCAACCTACAGCTGGCCGTAGTGAACGACTCCCGGCCAGTTACAGAGGTTGCCTTATTCTCACATCGGATAAGTCTAGGAGAAGCACACATTAAAATCCCTCATCAGAAACGGTGCCATGCGTGTGAAGGTGGTGCCAGACCCTTCGCCATGGGGATTTCCCCAGCCGCTCTTGCTTGATTCTGTCAGATATCTCCTGCACGCAGGGGTCTGGTGCCAGAGACACGGGGTGCGGTGCTCCTATGTCCACCACCCCCGTACCACCAGTGCCTGCCTGATTGAAAAGGCCACCCAACCTGAGCATGCTCTTACAGAGTCTGGTTACAGCATTAGACTCTTCTTTCCTTCATATTCCAAATATTTAGTGCTTGTTCTAAATATTGTTTGCGTGTGGCTCTAGCCCTCTTTTCTGGTACCTGAAAGGAGGCAACAGCATCAACTACATAATGTGCCCTGTTGGCTACTGGTACTCTCGCAGGTAGGGCAGTGAACACTGAAGGACACCAATATTTACACTCACGCTCCAGAGGGGAAATTTTGTATCCCCATGTACATAAAACCTTGCTTCTTTGGTATTCTAGATCTGGAATGCAGCTCCCGTTACATTCTTTTTCATGGATGCCAGGAGTTGAAACCAGAATTTACTCCTCCCTGGTACTTCTTGTGAGACTTCACGCAATCAAAGTATAATTCTTATTACTGTTACTGAGCTACCTAATAGCTGGCCAGGTGAAAGAAGAAAGGATCTTTCCCTGGACAAAGCAGCACAGGACAGCCAAGGTGGCCAAAAAGAGCAGAGAAGAAAATTGAGTGTTACAACTGCCTTCCTTCAGCTGTGAGGGAAGTGCTTCTCTGCACACAAAGTATGCAGATAATATTTGATAAGCAAACAGCTTCTTTAGTTTTACTGCACATTTTTATTGCTAAGACACATTTATTGTCTGGATTTTTCACAGCAGTTAGTTCAACAGTCATGAAGGTCAGGTCAGCCTCCCAGACAAGACACTGCAAAGGAAGTTTCTGCACCACCATCTCCTGCAAGGTCTTCTGTGTCCCATTTACCTCCTCTCTTCTAGACGCCCCTGAGATGAGCTGCAGTGTACAAAGTACACAGAACTGCGGCTGCTTGTAAGTCATCTTCAGCTTATAAGAACCAAACATATTGCATGTACTGCTCCAGATAAATAATCACTCCCAGGACTAGAAGATGAAGTGTTTGGATCTTTCAGCTTCTGTGATTTGCTTAAGGAGAGTGAAAACATCCTGAAACTGCTCTAAAGGAAACCTGAGGATCTTCTGCAAGACATAAAACTAGTAGATCATGAATGACTAACATAGAAAACAAAAACAACAACAAAAACTCCAGGGAGCAGGTCAGAACGAGTGTGTACTAGCATTTCCAGAAGTTTTTCCCAAACACGCTTGTTGAAAACTCTTTTCCAGTATCACTGCTTATCTAAGTAGCGCTAATAACGTGCCTGATTCATGTGAGCCTGTAGTTTCTCGCCAGACTGCAGAAATTAAGTTGAACTAAAGCAATGCTTTTTGAACACTGGGACAGTGTCAACTATGCTTTGAATGTTACCAGATTTGCTTTACATTATGCTTTCACCAATGATACTGCACTTGTCTCTATAATATGCCAAACCAGCCATTGATACAGCTGCTCTTCACGCATTGATAATTTTAACATAAAAAACCCACATCTAGCTTAACCAGTGGCTGTTTGCTCTGCAGTAGGTAACAGCAGATTCTTCTCTTTTAAAAGTTCATTTTAATCAAACTGGGAATGAGAATTGTAATTCGTCAGGGTTCAATAGCACTTTGCCTTACTACTGTCTTACAAGTCTGTCGAGCAGACTTTGTGCTTTGGCAGGTAAACCAAACTGAACTGCAGCTGTGCTCAATCTCGCCTTACTAAATTTGGCAGAACCAAATAGGAATCGGCACCGAATATTTTTCAGTGGCATTTTGATCTAAATCAACATGTGCCCATAAAGCCTGAAGGAGCTCATCATATGCTGTAGCTGATCAAGAACAGTGCAAAAAGAAACTTCGATGAGATATAAACAGCAACGTATTTGGAACAGCACTGATCCAAAGTCTGATTTAAATAAATATAAAACACCTTTTTCTACCAAATAATTAATTGAAAGGGAGCTCACATTTTATGCAGCCTCTCTAAAATACATTGCTTTGTTGCCCAGAGAAATTTGAAGTTCGTCCCAGTGGCTTTCAGGGAAACTACCCCAGAGCTGTGTGGCAGAGGAGGCAGATTCGCAGCTCTTTAGGCTCTGCAGCATATTTTGTCCATCTGTCACGCCTCCCAGCTTCAGGGACTGGCATGGCAGCCAACTTACAAAACACCATCAGCACAAACTTCTGCAACATAATGTAAGACTACTTGAGAAGTCAATAATACAGGGATACAGAAGTCATTTTCATATTTAACTTGGTAAA